CTTCGGAAGTGGCCATGACGTATGAATTCTGCAGGGAAATATCATGGTTACCAGGAGTTCATTAATACAAAACTGAAAAATGTTTATTTTTATATTAAACCTAATCCGATTTAGGCCTACTTAAAAACGAGGGTACTTATCTTAAAATCCCAGACACTTTCTTTACGGCCTTTTTGTGTGTGTTACTAAGTTAACATCATGGTTGAAACAGAAAATATAATAACATTAAATGGTTAAAAATAGAACGAGGACCATTGGGAAAAAGACTTGACTTTAAATTATTTTCAAAATAGCAATGTAACATTGGCAGAATCAATGTAACCCAAATCTAATACTTTTGACTGTGTCACTGTCGTAATGTAAAGAGACAATAATCATCACAACGACAAATTCCTGACAGTACTAAAATAACATGGTCGATAAACCAACATTCCTTGCTATTTTGTCAAGGCGAGGGATTGATTGTTCCCAGGATCACAGAAAGAGGGCGCGCGAATTGAGGAGAATTCGGGAGGAGAACAATCAGCGGCGTCTCTCTCCGCAGTTTTTTTTTTTATTTATTATTATTAATTAAACATTCGTTCAGAAATACAAGTGTGACAGAACATATGCAAAGGAAAAGAGCCGTCTCTCTCTGCAGTTCGAAGGCTTCGAAAGGTCGACGGTGACGTCATGTCGGTCACCGACCGTGATTGGTCAGCGTAGGTGGAAGTGTTACAAACGGTGTCATTCACAAAGTAACAAGAATACATTACAATAGTGATAAAGAATGCAATTAACTTTAAAATAGTATTTAGATCATTTTCCAGGCAATTTTACACGCGGACCTTTTGAAGTTCACGTAAACCCAGTTTTGGGGCGTATTTTCCGTTTCTTCACTGATTTATCAGCAGATCACACTTGAGAGATTGATTTAAAGGTAAGACTATTCTGTTTTACGGTTTTAATTTGTATTTAACAAATAACACAAGATGTAGAAACTCTACTGCTTCTTTTTGTGGCCTAGGTACATTTGTATGCCGAAAAGAGAAAGTTGTCGCCTTGTAATCCTTTAAGTTTATAGGCTATCAAGTTGTGAAGCGGATAACAAACTTTCACGATTCAACAGGTCAGTCAGTGTGAAATATTAAACTGTACATCAGTAGGTGGCTATAAATCTAACTCATACCTTTTGAAGTTCACGTAAAACCAGTTTTGGGGCGTATTTTCCGTTTCTTCACTGATTTATCAGCAGATCACACTTGAGAGATTGATTTAAAGGTAAGACTATTCTGTCGACGGCGAATGAGTTTTACGGTTTTAATTTGTATTTAACAAATAACACAAGATGTAGAAACTCTACTGCTTCTTTTTGTGGCCTAGGTACATTTGTATGCCGAAAAGAGAAAGTTGTCGCCTTGTAATCCTTTAAGTTTATAGGCTATCAAGTTGTGAAGCGGATAACAAACTTTCACGATTCAACAGGTCAGTCAGTGTGAAATATTAAACTGTACATCAGTAGGTGGCTATAAATCTAACTCATGAACTACAAAATGAAAGTTAAAATGACTGCCTATTATTCACCCTTTGGATTGCGAGGGAAATTCCTGTATTTAAATCATTGTTATTAGTAAGCCAAAATGACTCTGGTTGGGTTGTTTAAGATCAAAATACACTAACATATACCAGAAATCATTGTAAGTCTTTCTCAGTTTTTGTGAGACTGCCTCAGATCAAACTACAAGTAGAGACAAGACGACTGAATTTCCTTCTGTTGTCAGTGATACTATAGGGGATGTACTGCACATTAAATACTGGCTGTGAAACGTAGAGTCCAGACTTGTACATAAAGTTTTAACCCGCTAGTTTTGCCCCTCTGAAGGGGTTTGCATGCATGACTACACTGTTAATGATCCACACTCATTAGTTTGCATGTGAGCCCATTGAGGAGCCCTTAATTTCTCTTTCATCAAACTCTGTTCAAGGACCATCCTCCCAAGTATTTTATGGGCAACAAAACAATCTGATGTTACCGGCTTGGTAGCCACATCCATGTTGTCTTCATGGGTAGGAGAGTGTCTTGAATGTAGTCTGATTTCCTTGGAAAGCTGACACATGGCCTTGAGAATGTCCCTGAACTCCCATACATACAAATAACAAAGTTTAAATCATATTCAATCATCTGTTTAAATGAATATTTTACCAAAAGCAGATACATTTTTTACTTCCTGCCATGTTGTCTGTGTCTATCAAGCTTCAAAATGGACAAAAGAGGGAAAACACCATAAATACAGACCACACGACTCAAGTGCTATATTCCAATTCTTTTGGAGCTATAGAATGGGTTTGTGTTGAACAGACCAAAGTTTAATACATTTTTCACTAGTTTTCCAGTCAAAAATAGCTCCTTCTGATGCAATGTGCCATTGACATCCAACTTGAAAGTAGCACGTCTTTGGTTCTTATGTTTCTGGTGACCAAACATTATTGATGTCAAATCTTATGTACGTAAAAATATCCTAGATCATAAATAGCATTCTCGTCATGGATTCTCTCAGGATTTCTCTTTCGTAATTGCACAGACCTGAAAGCAAAAACCACTATTGTTCAAATCTATTGGAAATTCCTAAAAGAATCTGTGGGGAATCAGCCTTCTGAATTGGTCAGCAAATTCACATCATGATTAGATTAAACATTTCTATTTGATTTAAACTTGATAGACATGGTCGCCATGAATGATTATTGTATAGAAAAGAGTGAAGTCGTCATTTCAAGTCAACTTTAATAATAGAGCAACATGAGTAAATAATGAAAGAATTTTAATTTTTGGGTGAATTCTTAAGAAAAATAATAATAAAAAAATACAGACATATAAATCCGCTGCTCTCTTTTGAGATAGTGGTGGCTTGTAGTGTTGCAGTGATTAACCACAGAACTGTTCAAACCTCTACTCGCCATAGTGCTGCTTCAACTTAAGAAATATCTAATATTTGAATAATGCCAGCTGTTTGTGCGACATGTTATACAGTAGACCTTTTGTATCATTGCACATGAATCATCAGCATTGGGTCGGATTCCAGCAATACAATTGCATTACACCATATACATGATCCAACTAATGAAAGTTATTTTTTTCTTTTAGACATCCAAAATGACAAAAACAAAAGTTTACTGCTCCCCTTAAACCCACCAGCTCTCAAACGTTTGACTGCAATATAACTTTGTAGAATTTAAAACCTGCAAACACCTGTGTTTTCCTGTTACTCAAGGAAATGTAAATGTACTGCTTACTCTGAAAACTAACTACAGCTTAGTTTATTTTTATCCTTCTGTTTATTTTTGGTTATGATGCACAGTGTACTCTTACTACTGTATTAGACTATAAGACTTTAATAAAATAAGATGGCTGTCCTCACAAGGGATTGCAACATCTTGTCAATGTTCGTAATTGATGCAATACTTCATACCCTTTCTCGATTTGATTGTGAAACTAAGTGTTGCACCATTTTGGTTTCCTTAGAAGCCACATTACGATTTGTTATATCGTACCAGGCTCCACAATATATGTCATCACCACTCTTACCTTAAAGCTATAAATATATATACATATAATATGTATAAAAATACAATTATTTTATTTCAAAAAGTATATAATAATTTTTTATCAAAAATTATCAATATTTGAAAATATTGATTAATTTTATATAAATAATACTAACACTGGCACTGGTCTCTGGTCTTAATGGTCTCTGCATACTGGCTGTAATGCAATGATCAGACTTTTTTTTTTCATTTGGTGCATTTAAAAAGGTTTGAGCCATGACCTAGTAGTTAGCGCAAACACTCTGGCCCATCCACAGGCAATGTGGGTTTGACTTTACCTTTTGTCCACCATCTCACTCCTGTGATTTCACAGAAAAAATGTATTTGCCAAGATCAGCCTCATGCAGTCACTTTTATCCTCTGAAATATTAGAAACAGTTTTAAAGAGCTGCCGCATGACTTCAGAACTGCACTAAATCAAAAGACTTAAAAAAGTTATGCAATAATAAAATTACAAGATCATGTGTGATTTTAGTCAGTGGTTTCCTAGTTCTCATATCAAATGTGAAAACTGTTATCCAAGCATCTAAAATTATTTCTTCATGTTTCTCTTTGGTTTTTCCCTGACCTGCTCGGTTAAACATTTTGGTAAAGATTTACTGCAGTAAATATGATGGGTGAAATGATGGCCATGAGGTTTTTGAGAATTTGTGGACTCTACCTTATGTCTGCCAGTCATTCATCTCCATCCCAATCTGTTGAATGGATTTATTGTATCACCCTTGTCAAAATCATCATGTGCTTCCACTGTTAGGCATGTTTGTGTCAGCCTCAAATACCTTCCATAACAGTTCAAATCAGTCTGTGAGTAAGGAGCTGATAATTAAATCTGTAGTATGTGCATGAAAGATCTGTTTAGTTTAAAGTTGTAGTAGTTTTTTCAGTTGTACGTTTGTCACAAATGTTGAGCAAGGCTTATTCCATGCCTCATTAATGACAACTGTGACCTGTAGCGTGACTTGCTGTACTTCATCTAAAACTATTTTATTTATTGTTATTTTGTAAGTTGTTTTATTAGTATTATGGTATTGTTATATTATTATTATTAAGTAGTAGTAGTAGTAATAATTTATTCTCTATTAGTATAATTTTGTATAATTGTTTTTATATATTTTATGTAATGGTATATAATTTTAAGTAACAATAATAATAGGTTACACTTTATTTTAAGGTGTCATTGTTACATTGTAATTATACATTTGAGTACTGAGTAATATTAATTAACTACATGTACTTACTATATGGTTAGGGTTAGGATGAGGGTTTGGTTTAGAGTTCGTTGCATGTAATTATGCATAATTTATTGTTATTACAATAGTAAGTACATGTAACATGTGCAACAAGGTCACCGTAAAATAAAGTGTTACCTAATAATAATAATAAGAATTATTATTATTGATTAAGTACTTATTTTTAACAGTAATTATTAGTAATTACTAACAGTGTTTTTTCTATGTAGAATATTGGAATATGTGTACTGTTAACACTGAAAGCTTCAGATTATGTGTCAGTTATAGCTAGGCTCAAACTCAACATGCTAGGATGCCATCTATTGGTAATATGTATCTGGTAGTGATTTGTAATGCTGGCCTAAGTGTTACCTAATAATAATAATAAGAATTATTATTATTATTATTGATTAAGTACTTATTTTTAACAGTAATTATTAGTAATTACTAACAGTGTTTTTTCTATGTAGAATATTGGAATATGTGTACTGTTAACACTGAAAGCTTCAGATTATGTGTCAGTTATAGCTAGGCTCAAACTCAACATGCTAGGATGCCATCTATTGGTAATATGTATCTGGTAGTGATTTGTAATGCTGGCCTGCTGTGGCCACAAAGATGTTGTTTTGGCTGCTAAATCCCTGCACTACCATTTATCTCCAAAAGATGGTGTACGTGACTCACACTTGATTCAGCACTTATAATTTTGTGGATGAAATCCAATGAGGCCATAGTTGAAAAAAAAAATGCTGCCTTTTGTGTCAATTTTCCATTGTAAAGTTTGGTAGGGGTCAGACCCATGGCGAGACACATCATAAACATCCATTAACACTGACAGATGGTCAGAATGATACGTCCCCTTTTTAGCTTGACCAAGACCAGTTGGACAAAGTTTACATTTCGTTGCTGTCTGACACCAACATTAAGAGTGATTAATGCTGAGCAACTCTGAGGTATCCTATCTGTTCATTAACTACAGCTGTTAGAATCTTGTCCAAATTCACCTTAGAAGACTTTTTTTCACGAATCAATAGGGCATGACATTACCATACATGGAGACCTTGAAACAGATGTGTCAGAGATATCAACACAGAATTATGGTTTTGTTACTTTATAACCTGGTCGTATCCTTTTTGCTTTATTTGGTAGTAACATCATTTATCTTTATATAATAGCATAAAAATGCTGTCACTGCATTTATTACATTTAAAGAATTTAACAGCAGATTACAACAGTTGTATATTTCCCAATTGTTTGTGGGAGTTCTACGAAGGTGCTGACATTGAGTCGTGTCTTTCCTTTCTAGGGATAAAGAACATAATGATTCTGGTTCCGATTCTTCTTTATTATTCTGGTTCCATAATGGCTCCATTAATTAGTACTTTTTGCAAGAAATGCAATTCCAATTTAAAACAATGTGAAAGGGCATTTTTAAAATAACTTTTCTTATAAATGTATATGCATACACACACACACACACCTATAAAGCATATATCAATGCTCATTCTGCAAATTAGGAGTTTTTTTGAAGCAAAAGTTAATAGTTGGTTTATAGTGAGAATTGGACCTTAAAATAAAGTGTGACCAAATTGTCCATAATTCAACATTGAACAACTATATTCATGGAAAATAAAACTATTTAGATTTACATTT